CCCCACCTTTCAGGTCCGCGCCCTGGTGTTCATCAACCCGGGCAACCCCACGGGGCAGTGCCTCTCAGATCAGAAGCCAACCTCCAGGAGCTCTTCCCCATCTCCCCCCCTTCTTTTCCCCCTCCTTCACCACCCTCCCCCCACCTTTCAGGTCCGCGCCCTGGTGTTCATCAACCCGGGCAACCCCACGGGGCAGTGCCTCTCAGATCAGAAGCCAACCTCCAGGAGCTCTTCCCCATCTCCCCCCCTTCTTTTCCCCCTCCTTCACCACCCTCCCCCCACCTTTCAGGTCCGCGCCCTGGTGTTCATCAACCCGGGCAACCCCACGGGGCAGTGCCTCTCAGATCAGAAGCCAACCTCCAGGAGCTCTTCCCCATCTCCCCCCCTTCTTTTCCCCCTCCTTCACCACCCTCCCCCCACCTTTCAGGTCCGCGCCCTGGTGTTCATCAACCCGGGCAACCCCACGGGGCAGTGCCTCTCAGATCAGAAGCCAACCTCCAGGAGCTCTTCCCCATCTCCCCCCCTTCTTTTCCCCCTCCTTCACCACCCTCCCCCCACCTTTCAGGTCCGCGCCCTGGTGTTCATCAACCCGGGCAACCCCACGGGGCAGTGCCTCTCAGATCAGAAGCCAACCTCCAGGAGCTCTTCCCCATCTCCCCCCCTTCTTTTCCCCCTCCTTCACCACCCTCCCCCCACCTTTCAGGTCCGCGCCCTGGTGTTCATCAACCCGGGCAACCCCACGGGGCAGTGCCTCTCAGATCAGAAGCCAACCTCCAGGAGCTCTTCCCCATCTCCCCCCCTTCTTTTCCCCCTCCTTCACCACCCTCCCCCCACCTTTCAGGTCCGCGCCCTGGTGTTCATCAACCCGGGCAACCCCACGGGGCAGTGCCTCTCAGATCAGAAGCCAACCTCCAGGAGCTCTTCCCCATCTCCCCCCCTTCTTTTCCCCCTCCTTCACCACCCTCCCCCCACCTTTCAGGTCCGCGCCCTGGTGTTCATCAACCCGGGCAACCCCACGGGGCAGTGCCTCTCAGATCAGAAGCCAACCTCCAGGAGCTCTTCCCCATCTCCCCCCCTTCTTTTCCCCCTCCTTCACCACCCTCCCCCCACCTTTCAGGTCCGCGCCCTGGTGTTCATCAACCCGGGCAACCCCACGGGGCAGTGCCTCTCAGATCAGAAGCCAACCTCCAGGAGCTCTTCCCCATCTCCCCCCCTTCTTTTCCCCCTCCTTCACCACCCTCCCCCCACCTTTCAGGTCCGCGCCCTGGTGTTCATCAACCCGGGCAACCCCACGGGGCAGTGCCTCTCAGATCAGAAGCCAACCTCCAGGAGCTCTTCCCCATCTCCCCCCCTTCTTTTCCCCCTCCTTCACCACCCTCCCCCCACCTTTCAGGTCCGCGCCCTGGTGTTCATCAACCCGGGCAACCCCACGGGGCAGTGCCTCTCAGATCAGAAGCCAACCTCCAGGAGCTCTTCCCCATCTCCCCCCCTTCTTTTCCCCCTCCTTCACCACCCTCCCCCCACCTTTCAGGTCCGCGCCCTGGTGTTCATCAACCCGGGCAACCCCACGGGGCAGTGCCTCTCAGATCAGAAGCCAACCTCCAGGAGCTCTTCCCCATCTCCCCCCCTTCTTTTCCCCCTCCTTCACCACCCTCCCCCCACCTTTCAGGTCCGCGCCCTGGTGTTCATCAACCCGGGCAACCCCACGGGGCAGTGCCTCTCAGATCAGAAGCCAACCTCCAGGAGCTCTTCCCCATCTCCCCCCCTTCTTTTCCCCCTCCTTCACCACCCTCCCCCCACCTTTCAGGTCCGCGCCCTGGTGTTCATCAACCCGGGCAACCCCACGGGGCAGTGCCTCTCAGATCAGAAGCCAACCTCCAGGAGCTCTTCCCCATCTCCCCCCCTTCTTTTCCCCCTCCTTCACCACCCTCCCCCCACCTTTCAGGTCCGCGCCCTGGTGTTCATCAACCCGGGCAACCCCACGGGGCAGTGCCTCTCAGATCAGAAGCCAACCTCCAGGAGCTCTTCCCCATCTCCCCCCCTTCTTTTCCCCCTCCTTCACCACCCTCCCCCCACCTTTCAGGTCCGCGCCCTGGTGTTCATCAACCCGGGCAACCCCACGGGGCAGTGCCTCTCAGATCAGAAGCCAACCTCCAGGAGCTCTTCCCCATCTCCCCCCCTTCTTTTCCCCCTCCTTCACCACCCTCCCCCCACCTTTCAGGTCCGCGCCCTGGTGTTCATCAACCCGGGCAACCCCACGGGGCAGTGCCTCTCAGATCAGAAGCCAACCTCCAGGAGCTCTTCCCCATCTCCCCCCCTTCTTTTCCCCCTCCTTCACCACCCTCCCCCCACCTTTCAGGTCCGCGCCCTGGTGTTCATCAACCCGGGCAACCCCACGGGGCAGTGCCTCTCAGATCAGAAGCCAACCTCCAGGAGCTCTTCCCCATCTCCCCCCCTTCTTTTCCCCCTCCTTCACCACCCTCCCCCCACCTTTCAGGTCCGCGCCCTGGTGTTCATCAACCCGGGCAACCCCACGGGGCAGTGCCTCTCAGATCAGAAGCCAACCTCCAGGAGCTCTTCCCCATCTCCCCCCCTTCTTTTCCCCCTCCTTCACCACCCTCCCCCCACCTTTCAGGTCCGCGCCCTGGTGTTCATCAACCCGGGCAACCCCACGGGGCAGTGCCTCTCAGATCAGAAGCCAACCTCCAGGAGCTCTTCCCCATCTCCCCCCCTTCTTTTCCCCCTCCTTCACCACCCTCCCCCCACCTTTCAGGTCCGCGCCCTGGTGTTCATCAACCCGGGCAACCCCACGGGGCAGTGCCTCTCAGATCAGAAGCCAACCTCCAGGAGCTCTTCCCCATCTCCCCCCCTTCTTTTCCCCCTCCTTCACCACCCTCCCCCCACCTTTCAGGTCCGCGCCCTGGTGTTCATCAACCCGGGCAACCCCACGGGGCAGTGCCTCTCAGATCAGAAGCCAACCTCCAGGAGCTCTTCCCCATCTCCCCCCCTTCTTTTCCCCCTCCTTCACCACCCTCCCCCCACCTTTCAGGTCCGCGCCCTGGTGTTCATCAACCCGGGCAACCCCACGGGGCAGTGCCTCTCAGATCAGAAGCCAACCTCCAGGAGCTCTTCCCCATCTCCCCCCCTTCTTTTCCCCCTCCTTCACCACCCTCCCCCCACCTTTCAGGTCCGCGCCCTGGTGTTCATCAACCCGGGCAACCCCACGGGGCAGTGCCTCTCAGATCAGAAGCCAACCTCCAGGAGCTCTTCCCCATCTCCCCCCCTTCTTTTCCCCCTCCTTCACCACCCTCCCCCCACCTTTCAGGTCCGCGCCCTGGTGTTCATCAACCCGGGCAACCCCACGGGGCAGTGCCTCTCAGATCAGAAGCCAACCTCCAGGAGCTCTTCCCCATCTCCCCCCCTTCTTTTCCCCCTCCTTCACCACCCTCCCCCCACCTTTCAGGTCCGCGCCCTGGTGTTCATCAACCCGGGCAACCCCACGGGGCAGTGCCTCTCAGATCAGAAGCCAACCTCCAGGAGCTCTTCCCCATCTCCCCCCCTTCTTTTCCCCCTCCTTCACCACCCTCCCCCCACCTTTCAGGTCCGCGCCCTGGTGTTCATCAACCCGGGCAACCCCACGGGGCAGTGCCTCTCAGATCAGAAGCCAACCTCCAGGAGCTCTTCCCCATCTCCCCCCCTTCTTTTCCCCCTCCTTCACCACCCTCCCCCCACCTTTCAGGTCCGCGCCCTGGTGTTCATCAACCCGGGCAACCCCACGGGGCAGTGCCTCTCAGATCAGAAGCCAACCTCCAGGAGCTCTTCCCCATCTCCCCCCCTTCTTTTCCCCCTCCTTCACCACCCTCCCCCCACCTTTCAGGTCCGCGCCCTGGTGTTCATCAACCCGGGCAACCCCACGGGGCAGTGCCTCTCAGATCAGAAGCCAACCTCCAGGAGCTCTTCCCCATCTCCCCCCCTTCTTTTCCCCCTCCTTCACCACCCTCCCCCCACCTTTCAGGTCCGCGCCCTGGTGTTCATCAACCCGGGCAACCCCACGGGGCAGTGCCTCTCAGATCAGAAGCCAACCTCCAGGAGCTCTTCCCCATCTCCCCCCCTTCTTTTCCCCCTCCTTCACCACCCTCCCCCCACCTTTCAGGTCCGCGCCCTGGTGTTCATCAACCCGGGCAACCCCACGGGGCAGTGCCTCTCAGATCAGAAGCCAACCTCCAGGAGCTCTTCCCCATCTCCCCCCCTTCTTTTCCCCCTCCTTCACCACCCTCCCCCCACCTTTCAGGTCCGCGCCCTGGTGTTCATCAACCCGGGCAACCCCACGGGGCAGTGCCTCTCAGATCAGAAGCCAACCTCCAGGAGCTCTTCCCCATCTCCCCCCCTTCTTTTCCCCCTCCTTCACCACCCTCCCCCCACCTTTCAGGTCCGCGCCCTGGTGTTCATCAACCCGGGCAACCCCACGGGGCAGTGCCTCTCAGATCAGAAGCCAACCTCCAGGAGCTCTTCCCCATCTCCCCCCCTTCTTTTCCCCCTCCTTCACCACCCTCCCCCCACCTTTCAGGTCCGCGCCCTGGTGTTCATCAACCCGGGCAACCCCACGGGGCAGTGCCTCTCAGATCAGAAGCCAACCTCCAGGAGCTCTTCCCCATCTCCCCCCCTTCTTTTCCCCCTCCTTCACCACCCTCCCCCCACCTTTCAGGTCCGCGCCCTGGTGTTCATCAACCCGGGCAACCCCACCAGCCAGTGTCTCTCGGAAGAGAACCTCAAGGAGCTTGTAACCAGGACCCTTCCCATCCCATCTTACCCCTTTCCTTCCGCTCTCCCCATCTCACCCCACTCATGCCCTTCCAGGTAAGGGCGCTGGTGTTCATCAACCCGGGCAATCCCACGGGGCAGTGCCTGTCGGAGGACAACCTGAAGGAGCTCGTGAGCGTGTGCCTGCTGCCCTCATCCTTCGCCTTTGCTCCTTCACACCCCCACTTTTGCCCTTCCAGGTCAGGGCCCTGGTATTTATCAACCCGGGCAACCCCACCGGGCAGTGCCTGTCAGAAGACAACCTCAAGGAGCTCGTGAGCGTGTGCCTGCAAGAGAAGCTGGTTCTTATGGCGGATGAAGTGTACCAGGAGAATATTTACCAGGACGAGCGGCCGTTCATCAGCTCTAAGAAGGTGAGAGGGGTGTGTGAGTGTGGGAGGAGGAGTGGGTGTCTGTGCGTCTGTTGGTGGAGGAGTATGTTTATGTTGTCAGTGTGCCCTGGCAAGGAAAGCTGGTTCTTATGGCGGATGAAGTGTACCAGGAGAATATTTACCAGGACGAGCGGCCGTTCATCAGCTCCAAGAAGGTGCGTGTGGGAGAGGGGGGGAGTGTGGGAGTGGTGGGGAAAGGCAGAGAGGGAGGTGTGCTGGGGTTAGGGATACAGCGTCTCACAACATCAAGTGTACCAGGAGAACATCTACCAGGCCGAGCGGCCGTTCATCAGCTCCAAGAAGGTGCGCGTGGGAGCAGGGGGGTGGGGGGAGGAGGAGAGTGGTGGTCGAAGGAAGCGAGGGAGGTGTGCTGGGGTTAGGGATACAGCGTCTCACAACATGAAGTGTACCAGGAGAACATCTACCAGTTCGAGCGGCCTTTCATCAGCTCCAAGAAGGTGCGTGTGAGGGGGTGTGTGTGTGTGAGTGGATGCGCTGGGGAAGGGAATGCGTGTAGGTATGCTGCTGTAAGGAGAAAACTCATTCTAATGCCGGATGAAGTGTAACCACCAGGAGAACATCCACCAGGAGTGCTGTCTGCTGGTTTCTCCTGGCGTGATGACACTCTTCCCTCCTTACAACAGGTCCTCATGGACATGGGTCCCTCAGTCTCCTCCTCTCTCGAGCTCGTCTCCTTCCACACCGTTTCCAAGGGGCCCTTCGGGGAGTACAGGAAGCGGGGGAATGCTGTGTACTAATGTGGCCTGCTTGTTCTGCCTTCTCTCCTCCCTCCTACAGGTTCTCATGGACATGGGTCCCTCTGTCTCCTCCTCCCTCGAACTCGTCTCCTTCCACACCGTCTCCAAGGGGCCCTTCGGGGAGTGAGGGCAGAGGGGCAGTGCTGTGTGCTGATGTGACCCTGCTTGTTCTGCCTTCTCTCCTCCCTCCACCAGGTTCTCATGGACATGGGTCCGTCCGTCTCCTCCTCTCTCGAGCTCGTCTCCTTCCACACCGTCTCCAAGGGGCCCTTTGGGGAGTGCTCTGTGCTCAGCTGATATGTTCTTGTTTACCCCATCTTCTCCCTCCCTCTTCTCCCACTTCTCCCTCTCCACCAGGTTCTGATGGACATGGGTCCATCAGTGTCCTCTTCTCTTGAGCTCGTCTCCTTTCACACCGTCTCCAAGGGGCCCTTCGGGGAGTGCGGGCAGCGGGGAGGCTACAGGAGCTGACCAACAGGGCGGGCAGAGGGGGAGTGCTGTGTTCTGACTAGTGTGTCCCTGCTTGTTCTGCCTCCCTCTTATCAGGTTCTCGTGGACATGGGTCCGTCCGTCTCCTCTTCCCTCTAGCTCGTCTCCTTCCACACCGTCTCCAAGGGGCCCTTCTGGGAGTGCTCTGTGCGCTCATGTGACCTGGCTTGTGCTGATGTTATGTGTGCCTGCTCACTGTGTTTGTCTTCTCCCGTTCCCCCTCACAGGTCCTCATGGACATGGGTCCATCGGTCTCCTCTTCTCTCGAGCTCGTCTCCTTTCACACCGTCTCCAAGGGGCCCTTCGGGGAGTGCGGGCAGCGGGGCGGTTACATGGAGCTGACCAACATTAATCCCGCAGTGGTGGAAGAGCTTTATAAGATGTCTTCGATTAGCCTGAGCCCGAATGTCAATGGGCAAATGATGGTGAGTGGGGAGCAATGGGATGGGCAGAGAGGGGGAGGGCAGAGGGAGCACCAGAGGGGAGTGCGGGCAGAGGGGTGGGTACATGGAGCTGACTAACATTAATCCCGCTGTGGTGGAGGAGCTCTACAAGATGTCTTCTATTAGTCTGAGCCCGAACGTTAATGGACAATTGATGGTGAGACCCTAGCAGGGCATAGGAGGGAGTGCGGGCAGAGGGGCGGGTACATGGAGCTGACCAATATTAATCCCGCAGTGGTCGACTGCCTTGGCCTAGCACAGCACCCACAGCTAGGGGGGCAGAGGGGCGGGTACATGGAGCTGACCAACATTAATCCCGCTGTGGTGGAGGAGCTTTACAAGATGTCCTCGATCAGCCTCTGCCCGAATGTCAATGGGCAGTTGATGGTGAGTGGGTCAGCCACCTTGGCCTAGCACAGCAGCACAGCACCCACTGACAGGGAGTGGCAGAAGGAGTGGCAGAGGGGCGGGTACATGGAGCTGACCAACATCCACCCGGCTGTGTTGGAGGAGCTCTACAAGATGTCTTCCATCAGCCTCAGCCCCAACGTGAACGGGCAACTCATGGTGTGTGGGTGGACAGTATTGGCTTGGCCTAGCATAGAACAGCAGCACAGCACCCACCCACTGGCAGGGAGTGTGAGAGAGAGGGACGGGTACATGCATGGAGCTGACCAGCATCCACCCGGCCGTGGTGGAGGAGCTTTACAATATGTCCTCCATCAGCCTCAGCCCCAACGTCAATGGACAGTTGATGGTATGGTAAGATGCCTTGCCTCATGGGAGCGTAGGGATGAACAGGGCGGGGAGTGACAGGGGGGAGGGCAGAGGGGCGGGTGCATGGAGCTGACGAGCATCCACCCGGCAGTGGTGGAGGAGCTCTATAAAATGTCGTCCATCAGTCTCGGCCAGAATGTTGACGGGCACCTCATGTTTTTTCCTCCCACGTGTTTCCGTGTCAGATGGGGCTGATGGTCAACCCTCCCCAGCACGGCGACCCATCGTACCCCCGCTATGGAGCAGAGAGGTGAGTGAGTGAGGCAAGCGCATGAGGTGTGTGTGTGTGAGATCGAGTGTGTGAAGTGTGTGAGTGTGTGAGTGAAGTGTGTGAAGCGTGTGAAGCGTGTGAAGTGTGAGTGAGGGAGCAAGTGGTCCCTCAAGTCTCTTGCATCTAATCACCAAAAAGGCCATCCTGGAAAGATGGCTTCAATGCCTGCCACCCACAACTCCCTCTCTCCCACTCCACCGCGCTCCACTCCTCCCTCTTCTGCTTCGCCTTTGCCTCACAGGAAGGCCATCCTGGACTCGCTCAGGAGGAGAGCCCATGCCATGACAGATGGCTTCAACGCCTGCCATGCCATCTACATCTCTCTCAACCGATCTCTACCGCTCTCCTCGCCTTCCTCTTGCCCTCGCTTTCAAATCACAGGAAGGCCATCCTGGGCTCGCTTATAGATGGCTTCAACGCCTCCTCTCCCCTTCCCCATATCCTCCTTCTCTCATGCCCCTTGCTTCAAATCACAGGAAGGCCATCCTGGACTCGCTCAGGAGGAGGGCCCACGCCATGACAGACGGCTTCAACGCCTCCACATCCCTCCCAACCTTTATCCACCGCTCTCCCTCCCCATGTCCCTTGCTTCCAATCACAGGAAGGCCATCCTGGACTCGCTCAGGAGGAGGGCGCATGCCATGACAGATGGCTTCAACGCCTGCCAGGGAGTGGAGTGCAACTTCACGGAAGGTGCGGACTTAGCTCAGATGTCAATCATCTTGCCTGTAAGGCACATATGAGTGCAAGCTTATATCAAGCCTTTATGCAGCTTCCGAGCAAAGTGGCTTCTTTGTCGATCTGAATCTGAATTCCAATGGGTTTTTACCAAATTCTGAATCTGAATTCCAGTGCCGAAATATCGAATTTCTACATGTCCTATAACTGAGTGGCCAGAGTCCAGATGATCAATTACAGAGTTTCTTGAATTTGCTGACACTTTGATTCTCCTTGCCTACCCCCTTGACCCACCTCTTCTCCTACCCTCTCTCCCGCTCCCTCCCTCCCTCCCTCCCTCCCTCCTCGCCTCTCCTTCCCCCCCCAGGTGCTATGTACTCGTTCCCTCGCATTCACCTCCCGCCTGCCGCCATCGCTGCAGCCAAGGTGGCAGGGAAGGCCCCCGACGTGTTTTACTGTGCTGATTAAAAAGTCGTCCTCTTTTCACATCCCCTCCATCCCTTCCCCTCCCTTCCCCTTCCCCTTCCCCTTCCCCTTCCCCCTTCCCCTTCCCCTTCCCCTTCCCCTTCCCCTTCCCCCTTCCCCCTTTCCCCCACAGGTGCTATGTATTCGTTCCCTCGCATTCACCTCCCCCCTGCCGCAATTGCCGCAGCCAAGGCAGCAGGGAAGGCACCTGACGTGTTTTACTGCCTGCGGCTCGTAGAGGCCACGGGAATCTCCACCGTGCCCGGCTCAGGCTTCGGGCAGAAAGACGGGTGAGTTACAGGGAGTGATGGAGGGGTGATAATGCCAGTGTTCCTGGGCTCAGTGCGTGAGAGAGACAGAGAGAGAGGGGAAAAAATGCCAAGGCAGCAGGGAAGGCCCCCGACGTGTTTTACTGCCTGCGGCTTGTAGAGGCCACTGGGATCTCCACCGTGCCCGGCTCAGGGTTCGGACAGAAGGACGGGTGAGTGAAGGAAGTGAGGTGGGGCGATTGCCTGTTTTCTTGGGATAAGTGCCTGAGGGAGAGGGAGAGCAGGAGAGGGATGGGCCGAGGCAACAGGGAAGGCTTCGGACACATTTTACTGCCACGGGGGATTTCAACCGTTCCTGGCCCATAAGGATGGGTGAGTGAAGGGAATTAACCGTTCCTGGCCCATAAGGATGGGTGAGTGAAGGGATTTCAACCGTTCCTGGCCCATAAGGATGGGTGAGTGAAGGGATTTTAACCGTTCCTGGCCCATAAGGATTTCACTGCCACGGGGGATTTCAACCGTTCCTGCATTGAGCAGAAGGATGGGTGAGTGAAGGGAGTGAAGGGGCCCGGTAGTGCCAGTTTTCTTGGGATAAGTGCCTGAGGGAGAGGGAGAGGGATGGGCCGAGCGGAAGGGAAGGCCCCGGACGTGCTTTACTGCCTGCGGCTGGTAAAGACCACTGGAAGGGAGGGGAGGGAGGAGTGGAAAGAGCAAGAAGGTATCTTGTGAAGTGGGCTTGCACTGTTTTGATGATTGCTGTGTTGCAGTTCCCAGTGCATCAGGGAGTGATGTAGGTGGGTGGAGGTAGACACACATGAATGCGTCGAGTGTTTATGATGTGAGTCTAATGTAAAGAACTGCCACCTCAGTTTCTCCATCACCCTGTGCCTCCCGTCATTATTGTCACCCTGCAGCACCTTCCATCTGCGCACAACCATTCTGCCGCCTGAGTCCAAGATGCCTGAGGTTATGCGCAACTTTCAGAGATTCCATTCCGAGTTTATGGCAAAATATGGTGGCAAGGCCAAGCTGTAGTCTAGATGCACTTGGTGTCTAGGCTCAGATCAAGTAACCAGTGATTGCCATTCATTCCAGTGCTTTCAATTTTGTTTCCATTTATACGCTTCATGATCCGTCATATTCAATTCAGCTACATCTTGATTCAAAGGTATTTTGCCAGCCAAGGATTGTGAACGCAGTAGGATGCTATCCTAATTACAGGAGACAAATGGATGTGGTCATGACACGCATAAACCTTAAGTTTGATCTCAAGATGGATCTGGACTTTTGAGACAGCATCCTTGACAATCAGACTGAGCATACAGAAAGAGGCGGAGGAAAACTGCCAAGTGAGGTAAAACAGGCTAAGTTGAGCAATAAAGCCACACTTCATTAAAACTCGTCTTTCAGACGGAGTGAACACTACACTAAGCATGGGTCCTTTGAGCTGAAGGTCCACGAGGTAGTGTTCATACCAGCCCACTGGCCCTGCAAGCACACAAGCACACCCTACACACTGTAAGGAATTGAAGCGTGGCGTGGTCCTGAAAAAGGACCTCTCCTCTTCTACTCCTAAATCCGCGGCGAACGAGTTGGTATGTACCGCGTTGGGACATGACCCGCCAAGCCAAGTCTCGTCCGTAATTTATTTGACAAAAAAATCATCTGTGCGTGTCGGTGCGAGTTGGGCCTGACATGATGTCGTCCCAAATCTCGTCCCACTCGTCGCGTTGCGATGGTCTCCTCCTTTCAGGACTAGTGGCGAATCTGTTTGTCGTTCGCGGAGGGGACCGAGGCCTGTCAGGTATGGTGTCGAGCTGCGACAACGCCGTCTGCAAGAAAAAATATGTGTGAGATGCTCGTTAGTCATCGAACATGAGTTGGAGACCCGCATGAGATTTGATGATCAAACGAAGAGATTGTTGACTGGAAAAAAAAAGGGTACCTGATAAGCGTTGTGAATCTCCATGAATTTTGACGAAGCTCCAGACGAATGATTTGTGTCAGGATGGAACTGCAGACAGCAAGCCAAAGAAACAGATTAGAACAAGTGGACAAACCGCAATCAGTGAAGCGCTATTACATCACGAAAGCTTGGGAAACAAGAAAACGATGCGCTTACTGTTCGTGCGAGTCGTCTGTATGCCTGTCGAACTTCGTCCTTCTCAGCCCTCTGAGAGACGCCTAGGATGTTAAAGCAATCCGTTGCAATACGTCGCTCTGGCCGTCCCCTGGAATATGAAGCCTGTGCTTTCACCGGCGAACGGTACCGTTGAGGCGATGGCTGAGGAGCTCGGAGTGGGCTAGGCTGTACCCTGCTTTGGTTTGGCTTGGATTTTCCTCCCCATTCAATAGAGTTCTGCCTACGGAGAGGAGGCGGTGGCGACGGAAAGCGAACCACGCTTGCCATCAGGAGAAAGTAGCTGGGCCGAACACAAGAACTAGGTTTTGATTATTGAAGCCGAGCCAAACGAGAGATCCAGGTTTTGATGAATGAACAGGAACTGACTGATAAAACTGGTCGAAACAAACTCAAGGAAGAAGTTAGCAAGCTGTATGAACTTCTAAGAGACTGATGAGAAGTGCATGAGGATGCTGAGGAGTTAGTAGATCTAAGCTGAAGCAGGGGACTTCCTGAATCTGATGGTAGTTATGGAAAAAAGCGGTTGGTGAAAGAGCTGGCAGACTCTGGTCGGCTTTTGCTGTGCTGGAGACTGAAGTGGGAGGGATGATGATGATATTATAACCTGACCGAGTTTGCAGTTCCCAGGGGGATTCAAAAAGTGCGCTACTTTACAGCCTTCCCGCCAAGAGTTTGTGCAGTTTAAGTCGTTGCGCACCTGCCCGGCGGATATCACGGCAGAGTTTTGGGAGGAATAGAGAGCAAAAACGCGTTTTTCCCCAAGGGAACCTCGACATGTCTGGGTGGCTATGCGCGGGTATTTGATGGTCGATGGGGTGCACAAGCCGTTACAACGCGCGAAATGTGTCTGCTGTTCTGCTGGGCAGCCAGGGGAAACATTCCGATTGCGAAATGTTTCAAATTTCCCGCTCTCTGGCTGTCGGCTCTGGGAGTTGGCTCCAGACACTGGTGGATCGATTGAATCCACCAATCCACTTGTGCTCTCCCACATCAAAACCAGATCCCTGACAAACCCTTAGCGGTTCGATTAGATATATTGGTGTACACCAACAACCTGTAACACGTATACTGCCTTTGTTATATGGTGAATACAAAAAATGTGAATGGTTATATGACCATGAAAATAAAGGTCCGCGGCAACATATAGCGAGGGACCTTGCCTATGTGGGGACCTCATAGGTGGAGGTTTGAGACATGTTCTGCGCACGCAAAATCTGAAGATGACGAAATATAGCTTCGAGATCAATAGTAAGCGCACCCATGGTTTCCAAACCAATCGTATTATAGCCCCTCCTGCCGAACCAGCGGCCAATACCAGCGTCTTTTCTAAACTCCACTCAATAGGAGCGGCCACTCATAGAGGAAGGGGAGTTCGCTCTCCACCCCCCTTTCTGGGAGCAGCCTCTAGCATAGGCTCAGGGCGACGACGCTTGGAATCGAACCCTGGGCTTGTAGCCCGCCCGGTCGAACCAGAGACCAATCTCACTGTCATTTCCAAAACTCTCTTCAGTAGGATCGGCCTCTTACAAAGAAAGGAAAGCTCGTTCGTCTTGCAAAGGCTGAAGACGACGACACATAAGATTGATCCCCGCCCTCCCGGACAAGGACCCGGTTCACTAACCAACTAGGTCAAAGGGCATGTTTGGTATAGTGGGTCAGCGCACCCACGTTGTAGCTAATCCGGTAGAACCAGAGGCCAAACCTTATGTCCTTTCCTATTAAGTTAAGAGACTAGTGACTTGGCTAGCGAGCGGAATGATGCATTAGGGTAAAGGGGGAGGGGTACAAGAAGACTATCGAGTGGGTTTGTGTACCCCCTAGAATGCAACTCAATACAGCCTATCTAAACTATATAGCATAGTTTGACACACCCCCAGAGGCTAAGTGAGGGGCATCAAGGAAACAAACAAGTGACAGAGAATGGTCACAAGACCAGTCAACAGCAAGCAACAAAACAAAGCTCAGGGTGGCGCTCTTAGTCACCACACACTCCGATCACAAACAAGAGGCCACAAGGCCAGTTCAAGAGTTCACTAGGATATATAGAAACAAATCAAGCAAAACAAACAGAAAGCTACAGCAACTGAGGGCCTACCTCAACAAGCCCTAGCTGCACACAAATTCTGTGGTGGTCATTAGGCGCCAAGGCCTTGATGAAGACGTCGGAAGTGTTGGCCTCTGAGGCCACAAAGTCTAAGCGTGCCTGGCCGCGTCGCTGCAGCTCTCGCAGGAGAAAGTACCTCACGTCAATATGCTTCACTCTGCTCTCCAGTCGAGGCTCTCGACACAGGAGGATCATGGCCTTGTTGTCAGCGTACAAAGTCGGTGCAGAGCGAGGCCGCTCACCAAGGTCGGTGAGCAAGAAGGTCAATCAGCGAAGCTCCTGTGCCGCCATGGCACCAGCGTAGATCTCTGCCTCTGCACTGGACGAAGCCACAGACGACGAACATGTAGACCTCCACGACACAGCACCAGCACCCAGGCTGAAGCAGTAACCCTGAGTCGAACGATGAGTCTCCACGTCGTCAGCGTAGGAAGAGTCGCAGTGACCGGTCAACTCAACTGGCTGAGTCCCTCCAAGCACAAGCCCCATGCCTGATGTAGTCGCCAGGTACTTCGCCACCCTCACAGCAGCTGTCCAGTAAACAGGACGGTGTCTCCCAGTCGCAACAAGCGAGAGAGGACGCTGAGGGGAAATGCGAGGTCCGGCCGAGTACAAGTCATCAGGTACATGAGGCAGCCCACAAGCTCTGCGTAGGGACCACTAGACTCAAAGGGCTCGTCGGGAAAGGGGCCAGTGAGTCTGTGAGTCAGTGTGATGGTGCGAGCGGCTCTGTCCCTGGTGATCTGCAGGCCAAGGTAGCACTGCAGTTCACCGAGGTCAGTGCAAGTGTGTCTCTTCTGCAGTTCGGACTTCACCTCAGCCAGAGCTGCTCTGTCTGTTGTAGCAAAGACCAAGTCGTCGACGTAGAAAAGTATAAAGAAAAGAGTGGAATCAGCACGAACAAACATCGATGGGTCGGCAGAAGAAGGACGAAACCCAAGGTCACGAAGCATGGAGAGAAGAGTGCCGTGCCACTCACGGGGCGACTAGCGGAGACAGTAGACTGGTTGCCTCAGGCTCCACTGGGTCCCAGGTGGGAAGGTGTCAGTGAAGCCAGGAGGACGGCACAGCCAGATCTCCTCGCGTAGGCGGCCCTGGAGAAATGCAGTGGAGAAGTCAATGGAGTGCAGCTCGTAGTCTTGCTGTGCTGCTACGTGCAGTAACACCCGAAGAGTAGTCATCTTCGGGGTCGGGGCGAAGGTTTGGAAGAAGTCAACTCCCTCACGCTGACTGAAGCCCCTAGCCACGTAGCGCGTCTTGAACACAGGCGGTTGCTTCACATTGAAGAGCCACATGACATCGACAACGTTCGCCCTGGGAGGGGGAACTGCGTCGACGTAGGTGCCTGTGGATCTCCAAGACGCTAACTCTAGGTCCATAGCCACTTTCCACTGAGAGGCCCACTCCCCTGACACTGCCTCACGGTACGTGCGAGGAGTCGGTATGTCAAGGGCGTCGGGGTCTCCCTCAGGGGAAAGCAGCAAACTGCCTGTCCTCTAGGAGAAGGCACAAAGAGAGGGAGAAGCAACTGCCAAGAACTCCAGCTCAAACTGCCTGTCCTCTAGGACGTCACAGCCTAGGGCAAACTACGGGGAGATGGAGCAGCCACTACACGCGTGGCGTATTCGAGGCGGCGGGTGACAGCAAAGTCACAAAAAGCAGCAGTAAGAGCCGAGACAAACGACGGAGAGGCACGAGGGTCGGCGACAAGAGAGGCAAGGACACGTGAGACAACAGGGCGAGCAGCACGGTAGTAGTCAGAGATAGGGGTAGGAGCGACAGGAAGAGAGGACAGAGGAGGAGACGGGAGAACGGACACAGGTGGAGAACGACGACGAGACGAACAAAGGAGGGCAGTGCGGAGGTCGGTGACGGGGGACGAGGGACGAGCACGCGGTGGACAAGGACGGACACGGTAGTGTGGGACAACAGGAGGAGGAGACGTGGACAGAGGAGAAGACCAGACCGCAGGAGAGTCGTCAAGAGGAGGAAACATAGGACCAAAGGCAGGGGGAGACCGAGAGCGGACAGGAGAAGAGGAGGGAAGACCAAGGGCCTGCAGGCCACTCACTGGCGGGAAAAACTGCCGCTCCAGAGGGAGCTGCTGCTGCTGCTGCTCCTGCTGCTCCAGCAAGTCCAATTGTCGCAGCTCCTGCCTCTCCCGCTCCAACCGCTCCTGCTCCTCACGCTCACGTCGGCGAGCCGCCTGGAGACGTGTGTCATGGCGGTGGGGAGGCGCAGTAGTACTGCCTCCAGCTCCAGTCTCCTCGGAACTAGCACCTCCAGTGCCAGTACCTTCTGCTCCAGCACCCCCAGAACCACCTCCAGCGCCAGCACCTCTAGCTCAAGCACCTCCAGAACTAGCACCACTAGTGCCAGCACCTCCAGCTCCAGCACCCCCCGAACTAGCACCTCCAGTGCCAGCACCTCCAACTCCAGCACCCCTCAAAAGAGCACCCCCAGAACGAGTACCTCCAGCGGCAGCACCTCCAGCTCCAACACCCTCTGAGTCCACAGTAACCTGTCGCGGAAGTGCCGAAGGCTGCTGAGGTGACTGTGAGGAGGACTGCGGGGAGGGAGATTCTACCTGATGCGCGACAGAGGGTAGAGGGGTAGCGTGAGACACACCTGATGGGGCAGGACCAGGGAGGGGCGGGGGTACCGGAGGAGCGGGAGCAGGAGGAGGAGAGGGTGCGAGGAAAAGGGGAGGGGGGGGAACCGGGAGACCTCGACAGGGGTAGCGAGCGAAGTAGGACACAGACTCGTCAAAACGGACGTCACGGAAGTCGAGGAACTGGTGGAGGGGCGGGTGGTAAAAGGCGTAGTCGGGAGAGTCTACCGGGAAACCAAGGAAGACACAGGTGATGGCACGAGCCGAGAGCTTGTCCGCAGAGGTGTCGCGGACAAGCGCAAGGCAGCCCCAGACACGAAAGGCCGACCCAACACCAGGGGACCCGGTCCAAAGACTGGTCGGTGAAGCCTCTGGCTGCGAGACACGCGGCTGGAGGTTCAGCTGGTGGGCGGCGTAGCGAACCGCATAGGGCCACAGAAAATGGAGCGCACGGGCATGGATCATGGACGTGCGGGCGATGTCCATGACCAAGCCAATGCGGCGCTCAACAACCCCATTCTTCTCTGGGGACTCCGGAAGTGTCCAGGATTGGGAGATGCCCTGTTCGCCGCAGAATCCGCGAAGAATGCCGGAGCGAAACTCGCCCCCACGGTTGGAGTGGAGACAGGAGACACGACTGCCACGAGTGCCCTCAGTGGCCAGAAGCAACCGGATCAGCGTAGAAGTCACCTCGGACTTCTTCGCGAGAGGAAACACTGTGGTGTACCTGGAGTAGTCATCGACGACCACAAAAAAATAGCGCTCCCTCTCAGGTCCCTGCGTAGGGGCAGGGCCCAAGACGTCCAAGTGGAGAGTCTGGAAGGGAGCAGTGGCCGGAGGAAGGGAGGAGGAGTGCAGAGTGGCGCGCAGGCGGCCAGCGACACAAGGAGTGCACGGCGGTGCATGCGAGGGAGGGAGGGACGCAAAGACGCGAGGGAGACCCGAGACAAGACGGTGACTAGCCATGCTACGGAGGCGGGGGATCGACGGGTGGCCAAGACGGTGGTGCCACAAGACGGTCTGGTGTGAGAGGGACCGACAGGAGCAATACGCAGCAACCTGACCAGACGCAGCAACCTGAGTAGGCACAGCAACCTGACCGGACACAGCGACATGAGGGGACGCAGCCGCCTGAGTGGACGTAGCTACCCGGGAGTGCTCGGTGTGGAGGACGTAGAGACCTGAGCGGGGCTCCCTGGTGAATGTGGCCAGAACAATACCGGTGACAGCGTCCGTACAGACCGCAGTCCTCCCACCCCCCACAAAGGTAACAGTGATCCCTCTGTCCTGGAGGTATCCAACACCCACCAAGTTCCGAGTGAACGAGGGGATGTGGAGACCGCCCAGGGCACCAGAGGGGACCACAGGGCATGGGAGGGTGATGGAGCTGCGCGCAACGGCTGGTCCTGAGGAAGGATCAGCCAGAGCTACCGGAACAGGAGCAAGGAGCGGTGTGAGTGTCGTGTGGTCGCGAAAGAAGCACTGAGATGCGCCAGAGTCCAGCGTGAAGGACAGGGACGCCTCAGCCAGAGGCGCACCTCGTCTGGTAGCTACACAAACACCTAGAGCAGCAACACAAGCACCTAGACTGGAAAGACAAAGAGCTACACTAGCAACAGGCAAAGAACCTATACTACGACCACCCGAGCAAACAGATCCAGCTGCACTATAGTCCACATCGGCATATATCACAGAAACAGAGTCCAAAGCCTCAACTAACTGCACTGCAGACAAGTCCCACAAAGCAAGTCCACAAGAGCGATCAAGGAGACGAGTTCCGTCACAGTTGAATTTTGTTGGATTCGAAACGCAGCAAGCCTACTAAGAGTAACGATCTGTAGTACTGAGTCTACTAATCTGAAAATCGAGGGAAGTAGTGAGAAAAGGTCTACTAATCAGAAAGCCAGACACATTAGGCCTGGATGTCGTGTGTGAACGCGCCTCCAGTGAAGGCCTTTGCTGGCATCCAGGCCTAATGTGTCTGGCTTTCTGATTAGTAGACCTTTTCTCACTACTTCCCTCGATTTTCAGATTAGTAGACTCAGTACTACAGATCGTTACTCTTAGTAGGCTTGCTGCGTTTCGAATCCAACAAAATTCAACTCAAACACGACCGCCTGTCTGAAGCACGTTCGAGCAAGGAGGCGGAGTAACACCCCGCGATGCCAAGCTGGGCAGACCACCGCCACGACCAGCGCTCCCTGGTCCACCAGGTACCCACTGCTGAGGCTGTTGCTGCACCTGTCGCTGAACCTGCGGCTGCGGCTGTCCCTGCTGCTACGGCTGTCCCTGCAGTGGCTGCTGCTCCTGGGACTGCTGCCAGTGCTGTGCTGTGTACCACGCGGCTGCACCAGGACCTCCTCCCGTCGGGCCCGCAGGCCCAGTACCGCCTCCTGTGTCGCCTCCACCAGACGCACTAGTGGCACCAAGGCCTTTGCCACCCCCGCCACCACCACCAGCGCTACCACCTTTCCCCCCTCTCTTACCTCCCTTACCCCTGGACTGCCCACCCGCAGTGGACATGGCTGCAATCTCGTCAGTAGCAGGAGACGCAGTAGAGGCAAGAGAAGCAGTGAAAGTGGGAAGCTGTGGGACGGTGCACCCCTGAAAGAGTGGGGGAACTACGGCGCCGGAGGCGGAGGCAACGGAGCGGATGTTGCTCTCGATGTCCAGGAGAGCCGTCTCAAGGACATCGATAGTGAGCGCACTAGGGTGCTTCCGAAGAAGCGCGTCACGGACGGGCGCAAGGCGGTCAGGCAGGCTAGTGGAGATGAAGTGAATAGTGACCGCCATGGGTGGGGGGAGCAGTGCAAGCTCAGCCTCAGTACAAGCAGCACGGTAGCTGACGTCTAGGGAGCGCAGGTGGGTCATAAGGTCAGCAGTGCGGTCAAACGCAGCTAAGTCGGGAAAGAGAAACGGCTGAAGGAGGCGACCAAGAGAGGCGGAGGTGGGAGTGGAATAACGTGCCTTAATTGCAGTGAGCAGGTCCTTGGCAAATTGAACCTGAGAGAAGCGAGCATCCTCGGTCTCGGGGAGAAGGCTGGCGAGGGCGATGCAAGCCGCAGCGTCACGCGACTGCCACACTGAACGAGCGGTATGGACCTTATCAAATCGCGCATGTGCCGCCTCATCAGGCTCAGCACCCAGGGCAGCAGTGGGGGGAGGCTCAGGCAGGTCACCGGAGGCGTGCGCCCATAATGTATCATTGTCCTGGCGCTGACTCTTGAGGAACCGCTCGGCACGGATAAGCAAGGAGGGGAACTCTGGGGCTCTACCCTCAGCATTAAAGCGCAGTAAGCGAGTGGCCACCATAATGAAGGAACTACCGGCCTAGACGCGCAGGCTACAGGTGGCCGGAGTTAGAAACGAGCGAGGGCGTACGGTGCCCGAAGAGACGAGGCGAGGAACGGCCTGAGCTAGGAGCGACCTAAGCCAGAGTGGCAAGCTAGAAAGCACCGAAACGGGGAACGAGCGAGGCCTGGGTGCGAACCGAGAAACGAGAGATGCGAGGGACGAACGAGGCGAGAGGGCCGAGGCTAGGAACACTACGTAGAACTCGAAGCCGATCCTAAGTCACGCTAGCAAAGTGTATTGCGGCTGCCAGCCGTTGCGGGTGGAACGCCAGTAACAGTAGGCGTTGGAAGGGGTTGTACGTGCAGTTAAGTGCGGTTGTGTGCGGTCTAGCGTGGTGGGGAGCGGTTAGAAACGGTCTAGGTGCGGTTTGGAGGGGATAGGAGTGGTGAGGAGCGGGTAGGGGCGGGTAGGAGTGGTTAGGAGCGGTGAGGAGCGGTGAGAAGCGGTTAGGAGCGGTGAGGGGCGGTTAGGAGAGGTTGGGAGCAGTTTCTGTAGCACAGGCTGCAGCTGCCGCCCTCGCTGCAGATGCTGAGGCAGGTGCGGCTTTTGCTGCGCTTGCTGCTGCTGCTGTACGCGCGTGGCTACAGCTGCTGCAGCGCGTGCGTGCGTGTGGCTGCAGAGGCACGTGCGATGGCTGCTGCGTGCGCGGGGGCTGCTCCTCGTACGCGGGCAGTGGTGTGCGGGCTCGCAGCTGCTGCAGCACGTGCGGCTGCTGCTGCGCGTGATAACGCTGCTGTGTGCACGTGGCGAGCGTGCGAGCGGACGGCAGCTGCAGCGCGTGGCTGCTGTTCGTACTGCTGGCGCACGTGCAGCTGCGTGCGCATGCGCTGCAGCGTATGCGTGGCTGCGGGCGTGCGATCGTGCGTGCTAGTGGCGCGAGCGGGCTGCTCGGGAGGGTAAGGGACGGGCGTGGACGGGTAAGGGGCGTGACGAGGACAGGGCAGGCTAGGAGCGAGGCCTGCGAACGGGCAGGGCGCGGCCTGCTAAGGGGACGGATCGCAACGTGCTAAGGGGCGGGGCGATTCGGAACTAGGTGAGGAACTAACCTACTCATGATACCATCTTAAGTTAAGAGACTAGTGACTTGGCTAGCGAGCGGAATGATGCGTTAGGGTAAAGGGGGGGGGGTACAAGAAGACTATCGAGTGGGTTTGTGTACCCCCTAGAATGCAACTCAATACAGCCTATCTAAACTATATAGCATAGTTTGACATTTCCACACTTCTTTACCTAGGAGCGGCCTCTCGAAGAGAAATGAATGTTCGCTCTGTCCAAATAACATTGGTAATTTAGGTTTGGGAGGCTAGGCTTAGTGGCGAGAATTACGAGAGGCATGGCGAGAAGTTTGAGAAGAAGGGGTATTTATATTCGGAAACTCGCGCTACGTCTGGGTAGCAATTGCCGACTTTCGATCGAAGGCACCCGAAGAGTTTCGGGTATGGCTGGCTCATGCGCAGCGGCAATTGGGAAAGAAGCTGAAGGTGTGGCAGACGGACAGTGCAAAAGAATTCCGGAGCAACGAGCCCTAGAGCTTCCTTACGGAGAAGGGGATCTTGCACCATATCTCACTCCCCTACGCCCAAGGCATCGCCGAGCGCATCAACCGCACCCTCATGACAAAAGTGCGCGCGCCCCTAAAGCAGTCTGGCCTCCCCACCAAGTACTGGCCCTACGCCATGCATCACGCCGTGAGGCTCCACAATCTCCTATCTACCACTGCCAACACGGGATACCTCCCACCTCACATGAAGTGGACCGGAACCAAGGGCAACACCTCCATGCTGAGGGTCTGGGGCTGCATGGTGCAATACAGGCTGACTTCTGCTACAATCGGCAAGTTCACCGATCGCGCGCGTTGGGGGATTCACCTAGGAATCAGCTACGAGTGCAAGGGATGGCTGATTCTGGATCTGGACACTAACAAGATCGCACATGCGTGAGACGTTCTCTTATACGAACACCTCACCCTTGCAAGCTACCTTGAAGACCAGCGAGCAGGAGCAATACGCGCTTACGCCAACAACGGGAGGAGTTTCGCCTCCTCAGAAGATGAGGCAGCTGCCGCGGCCCTCGACCGCGAACCCACCGACGAACATCCCTAGCGTATCTTCTCGCCCGCGTGACGACGACGATGACGACGACGACAACGCTCCCGGACCCCCGCGGCGCTAGGACCCCCCAAGGAGCGCTCAGCCCGCACATGATAGCGACGACGATGATGTGGTGAAGTAACCACTTAGAAAGGGCAAGGTGCAGCGAATGTTACGGGGCTGCAGCTGCTCGGCCTACACACTGCCACAACCACCGCCCGCGCATCGTCGAATCCAAGAACCCGCGAGAAGCCCTAACCGGCCCGCACGCCAAGGAGTGGCGTGCAGCCATGTATGCGGATCTGAAGGCTCTGGAGTCACGCGACACCTGGGTCCTAAACGATCGTGCAGCAGTGAAGGGGAGGAGGGTGCTATCAGGAAAATGGGTGTTTCAGCTCAAAATCAAAGCCGACGAAACTATCGAGCGCTTTAAAGCAAGGTGGGTCGTACGCAGGTACGACCAGCGCCACGGGATCAAACTTCGACCAAACCTTCGCCACCGTGAGCCGCCACACCTCTGTGCGAATACTACTCGCCATCGCTGCCGCTAAGCACCTACCACTGCGGCAGATCGACGTGAATAACACGTTCTTGTACGTGCTGGTCGACGCGACCATTTTCGTGGAGCAGCTACACACCTACGAGGAAGGAGACCCAAGGGTCTGCCAGCTAAAGAAACCCTTCTACGGTATTAAGCAGGCGCCGCGACTCTCGCAGCAGCACCTGCACAAGATACTACTTGAGATCGGTTTCAAGCGGCTGCCTCACGACCCGGGGATGTACCGCCCGCACTTCAACGACGACTACATTCTCCTGATAGTCTACGTCGATGACCTACTGTACACAGGAACTAGCAACGCGCTTCTCGACCAATTTGAGAGGAACTTGGGTCAACACGTCGACATCACTACCAACCACAAAGTCACGCAGTTCCTGGGGCTAAACATAATTTACGCGCCATAAGCAATTCACCTGTCGGCTTCAAAGTACGCGCTGGAATAGGGCGAGCGATTCAAAATTCCACCCGCACCGCTCTCAACTTCCTACCGCTCGCCCAAAGGCAACTACAATCCGGACAACAAACCCCTTTCGCCAGCAGGGCTCCAACTCTACCAGCAGCAACTGGGTTGCCTGCTGACCGCCTCTGTCACCTGCCGACCCGACCTTTCGTACATCGCCAACCAGCTGGCACAATACTCCCGCAAGCCAGTAGCAGAAAACCAGCTGGACCTGGAGCGCGCCCTGCAGTACTTCATCTCCACACCTGACATCGGGTTATCGTACTTCACGCTGATAACACCATCCTTCAAGCTCACCGGCTATGTGGACGCAGATCATGCCGCTAACCTTGTTAATCGACGGTCACGAACTGGGTTCGTATTCCGCCTCGAGCCAACGGGTCCAATCTTCTGGAATTTTCAGAAGCAGGAGCTGGTTGCATTGTCGTCAGCTGAGGCAGAGTATATCGCCGTAACCGCTGCAGTTCGCGAAAGACTCTATATGCAAAAACTGCTGCAGGAGGCGAAAATCCCAACTTCGCCCACCTTTCGCATTCATTGCGACAGCCAGAGCTCAATCAAGATCGCGAACAAACCTGGTTTCGTTAACCGAAGCACGTCGCGCTTCGATATTGACCAGGGCAATGTTGACCTAACGTACTACCCCACCACCGAGATGGCAGCCGATTTCCTCACCAAGCGACTGCCACGTCAACAGTGCCAGCACTGGTCCAACCTCACCGGATTGGTCAAGCGAGTCAGCCCTGTACACGTCAAGGAATGAAGGGGGGTGTTGGGATAGGAAACTTAACAAGAAGGCATTCCTGTACGCTACAGGAGCCGACTGTACCGAGTACGAAGTCGAGGATTAAGAAGAGTCGAAGCGACATCAGCAACCGTCAGATCAAGACCGATGCAGGCAGAAACATTCAAAGTGAAAATGGGGGGAACAGGTTTGAAACGGGTTCCCGCGCCGGACGGTTTGAATTCGTTGTAATAAGGGAATGTATCCGTTATAGTACATGGCTAGCTAGGACGTTTCGTTTGTCAGAACATATATATAGCTTATGCAGTTGTGTAGGCTATAGTGGGGTATCCCATAGGGGGTACAACCCAATTATGGTTTCCTATATGTACTCACTTCATTCATAGTTCATTCATTCTTGTTCAAATCTTCTCATGGTATCGAGCAGGTTCCCCCTTGGGAACTGTGCTTAGGGCCCACCACATCGTTTTTTTTTCCTGCCCGAAGCGCGCTCAGCCCGAGTCGCGCTCCGGGCCCTCACTTCGTCGAGCCGCCCTAGCGGCCCTTCATCGCGGCCCCGCCGCCTCTCTCCTAGCGGCCCCGCCGCCCTACCTAGCGGCCCCGCCGCCCTACCTCGCGGCCTCGCCGCCCTATTGCGCGGCCCCGCCGCCCTACCTAGCGGCCCCGCCGCCCTTACTCGCGGCCTCGCCGCCCCATTGCGCGGCCCCGCCGCCCTACCTCGCGGCCTCGCCGCCCCATCGTGAGGCCCCGCCGCCCTACCTAGCGGCCCCGCCGCCCTTCCTCGCGGCCCCGCCGCCCCATCGCGCGGCCCCGCCGCCCTACCTAGCGGCCCCGCCGCCCTTCCTCTCGGCCCCGCCGCCCCATCGCGCGGCCCCGCCGCCCTTCCTCGCGGCCCCGCCGCCCCATCGCGCGGCCCCCGCCACTCTACCACGCGGCCCCGCTGCCCTATCTCGCGGCCCCGCCGCCCTACCCAGCGGCCCCGCCGCCCTTCTGCAGCGGCCCCGCCGCTCCTCTACAGCGGCCAAGCCGCCCAGCAGCAGCGCAGCCGAGCCGCCCAGCAGCTGCAGCCGAGCCGCCCGGCCGCCCACCAGCCGAGCCGCCGTGCAGCCGACCGCCCAGCCGCCGAGCCGCCCAGCCGTCGAGCCGCCCTGCAGCCGAGCCGCCCGGGAGCCGAGCCGCCCTGCCGCCGAGCCGCCCTGCCGCCGAGCCGCCCGGGAGCCGAGCCGCCGAGCCGCCCTGCCGCCGAGCCGCCCTGCCGCCGAGCCGCCCGGGAGCCGAGCCGCCCAGCAGCCGAGCCGCCGAGCCGCCGAGCCGCCCAGCTGCCGGGCCGCCCTACTACCGAGCCGCCCGACCTGCCCTGCCTGGTGAGCACAGCACCACTGTTACTGCGTGCCCTTCCCCTACTGCTTGCACTACTACACTGTCGTCGTCATGGCTACCCCTAGTGTCCTCGCTTTTGACGCTGAGGGTCGAGCCATTGACTTTGAGGTCTGGGTCGACGACCTGCAGCTGTTCTTACAGTGCGATAGGACGGACGGTCTTTCCCTCTTTGACCTCACCTCTGGCGCCTCTCCTGCCCCTGCTGCTGATGCTGACCCCACTGTTCGCTCTCAGTGGGCCACCCGCGATGCTGCTGCACGTCTTGCTGTGCGTCGTCACCTGCCTACCACTGAGCGCGCGCACTTTAGTCAGTACAAGAGTGCTCAGACCTTGTACGACGCTGTAGTTGCGCGCTACTCTTCCCCTGCCACTGCTGCCCTGAGCCGCCTCATGCTACCGTACCTCTTTCCTGACCTTGCTGCCTTTCCCACTGTCGCTGACCTCATTACGCACCTCCGCACTAGTGACACTCGCTACCGCGCCGCCCTTCCTGCTGAGTTCTGCGCCAAGAACCCCCCCCCCCCATGTACATCACTCTCTATTACATAGTCACACGCCTCCCTGACTCCCTTCGCGTAGTCAGGGACCACTTCCTCTCAGTCTGTCCCACCACTCTCACTGTCGACCTCCTCGAGAAGTCCCTCCTGGCGGCGGAGAAGAGCATCGTCGCTGTAGGAGCCTCTCGTGGTGACCCTCGCACCCCCATCTTTGAGGGGTGTTCTCCTTCCCCCCTGCTGCCCTCTGTTGCCTCTGCTGCTGCTGCCGACCTGCTTGGTCTTGAGTCGGTCTGCGCGGCGTCTGCCCCTAGCGGGAGACGCCGCCCTGGCAGGGGCAAGGGGGGCAAGGGCGCGGGTGGAACTGGCGGGGGCGGTGGAGGTGGCGGTGGAGGCGGCGGAGGGAGTGGGGGTGGCGGTGGGGGTGGTGGCGGGGGCGGTGGTGGCGGTGGCAGCAGCGGAGGAGGAGGCGGTGGTGGCGGCAGCGGTGGGAGCGGAGGCAGCGGTGGTGGTGGAGGTGGAGGCGGCGGTGGCGGAGGGGGTGGCGCTGGTCG